GGGAAAAAAAGGAAAGGCAAACAGTCAGCTGGGGCCTGGCTGCTGGAAGCTTCCTTTGTTAGCTGAAGCTGATAGCAAAGGTGATGACCCAGAGGGTGACACGAGGCCATCGAGCTCCCGTTACACCTCCAGCAGAACCTGAACCTGGTGACTTGCCCACGTGTGCTGCACAACAAGGTGCTCGGTAGGTTTGCCCCCAAGGTCACAGCCAATGTTCTTCCTCAGCTCCATCTTCCTGTGGGACTGATGCGTGTTGATGGGCAGGGGAGGGATGCTGGTAGACCTCGGAGAGTTGTTTTGGAATCAGATTGACATGAACTGTATGAAGAAAGCTAGAACAGTTCTTACAGTAGTGAGTGGTTCTTTCAGGAACTCTATGTTCTTCCTTCAATGTAGATCTCATAAACCAGAAAGGAACTGGTTAGTATCAAATGAGAATTCTTCAGGAGGGAAATCAAATGTCCCAGTACTAATTAGTTGAAATTAAGATCATTCAAATATTTATATAGGGAAAGCGAGTATTCTGGGAACATGCTGGGATAAATCACATGGCTGGAATATTAATAGCGAGGCAGCAAATCTGCACAGAAAGAATCAAGGTGAAAACATAGGGGAGGGACTGTACTTATTATCACAGGGTGTTCATCCCAGCAGTTAAATACAGGCAGTTACTGAAAGAAATGTTAACAATGAAATGTTATGAGTTATGATGACAGAGCAAATGTGAAGGGGAATTAAGATGGGACCTGTGCTATGGGCCACAATGTCAGCACAGAGCGGCTCAACCAAACGCAGAAGAAACTGCTGGAAGCTGGAGCCAGCTCCTAGTGCTGCTGTGCTCTGCCCCACGCCTGGATGCACAGCCGTGTGTGTGCTTCAGCTGCACGGCCACAGTCAGGCAGGAGCTCTGGGCCACGTGCAGAAGAAATCTGCACCTGTGTTGTCAGTGAGCCTGAGAAGGCATCTGCAGCTTGTCCTGACGCGGCCAGATGTGCGGGGGGTCTGGGAGCCGGCTGAAGGTAAAATTCTGGAGGAGTGGGCAGAGGAGACGGCCCCTTTTGTATGGCCAGCCGGCATCTGCTGGAGGCAGGACTTTGTGGTCATGTCAGCTCCTTTCTTGCTTCAAGAATCAGAACGTCTAGCCTTGGTGTCACTGCTTTAATTTAGTTTTTTGTCACTTTATTTTTCTGACACTATTTCTTTGGTGCCAGAAATAATCTTTTACCTTTCTTTAAGAAAAGAGTGGAAATGAAATTATCAAAATTTGATAACTGTGTTGTTACATTGGTCTTTTGAGTTCTTTGTGTGTGTGTGTGTGTCTGTGTGATATTTCATCTCACTACTGTGCTCAGGTAAAGGGGAACAAAGCCAGGACTGCTGCCATTGTGGCTACTGCTCTGAAGCATCCACTGCTCCTACATCACACATGCCTTTTTTGTGGGCAATATGTAACTCTGCCACGCAGTGGCAAAAGGGTTCAAATGTTGTAGAGCCTGGAAATGCCAACTGTGGAAGAAATGAACTGGCATGCTATTTTAACATTTCTTCTTTTTTATTAAGCTGTATAATATGACCAAAGTATGTGCATGAGATGAGGGCGAATGCAATGAGCAATCTGCACTAGAAACAAAGCAGGCAATGCACAAGCCTTTTGCGGAATGGCATTGTTCTCCCACTAACAAGGTCAGAAATGAGAACTCCTTTTTGGGGAACCTCTCATGTGAGACCTTGGGCTGGTTTGGATCACAGAGGCTGTGGAAGATTCCAGGCTACCTGCTCACATTGAGCCAGTCATCTCCCCTCGCAGCCCAACTGAAGATTCTCCCTTGAAAACAGCAGGAGATGTTAGAAATGCCAGGCGTGAGGTGTAGTTATGTGCATGTGAGACACTTCCAGAGCAGCAGCTGGTGATGTATGCACAGGATCTTTTCATTTTACCGAGCAAAACTAAATGTTGAGAGGAAACCTCCACAGAAAAGGCCTGACTGCAGTTTGTACGCATGTGCCCAGGCTGGAACTGGGACTGACTGCACAAACCCAGAGCAGACAGAATCCGTAAATCCAAGTAAATATTCAGGCAGGCAGGCAGCGCTGAACTCTGTATTGTTTGAGTCACAGGGCTGTTCATGGCTCAGCTGGGTTGTTTAAAGCTGCTTTGGGAATGCCAGCATAAGCTGCTAGAAGCCCTTTCCTTCAGACTAGGTATTCATTCAGGACACAGCACATCATTTTTTCCTTTCTGCATGCCTGTCTCCAGCAAAGGCAAATGTCTGTGTGATGGTAGTCACGTTTGGCAGCAGCAGATGTGTGCCCTCAGCTCCAACTGGCAGAGCGCAGCCTCGGTATCTCGGTCCTCTTCCCTTCATTCCAGGAAAATAAATATGATGTGACTCCATTCACACCAATTAATTGAGAGGTTTGTGAAGGATGAGTAATGCAGCAGTACATACATTTTGTGTTGAGTTTTCCTGGTTCATTCTAAAAAAATGTGAAGCATCCTGGCAAGGCCATTGCATGGAAACCCAGGCAGCGACCTCGATTGCCTGTCAAGAATTCTGAGCAATAGTTTAGACAATAGAGAATGAGTTCTGAGGGGGCATTCCCTGAGCTACAGTGGTGTAAGAGCAGGGTGAGGGTTCAAGAACTGCTCTTCTCTTCTGCAGTTTCACCCACTCATGCTCCGTGGTGCCTGGTGAGGTTTGGATCTCCTCCTCTGGATCAAACTTGGATACATTTTTGTCTGGAAGGATAAGGGGCTCATTGCTGTGCCATGTGTGCATCCTCACTTGGTCTGAGTTGGCACTGTGAATCTATTGCATAAAATCCTGACTCCGTTGGAGTCAATGGCAAAAGTCTCACAGACTTCAGTGAGGGACCAGGACTTGGTCCAGTGAGTTCAGTGGAAAAACAGTTCTTACCGACTGCAGATCTGGCCCCATTGTTTGACACTTGTTCTCAGCTCAGGATTAAGAGAAAATTATAAAGAAGGTTGTAAAATAATTCCATCAGTAATTCCATCAGAGCTGCAGAGTTCTTGGTTCTGGCCACGTGCATCAGAATAGTAAGGGATGCACACAGCACTTGGTTTCTGTGTGGAAATAAACTACATGGAGGCATCACTGATTCTTTTTGTTTATATCATTACTTTGCAGTGCAGCTGTTATCCATATTAAAGCACATTTTTTAATCTCCAATTTTTTCAAGAACTAAAACCTATCTTAATTAGTGGAACTGTTGGCTGGGTTGTATTTTTTTCTGTAATCTACCCCATCTCCTTAATTTTTTTTGTGGATGCATCATATAGAAACAGGAACTTTGATTTCAAATATATGGCCAATTCCTCTCCCTTTCAAGTTTATGAGCAGAAGTTATTTCAATTTGAGCAGGATGGGATGGATGGAACACAAAAAAGCCACATCATCAGCTTAAAATACAAGTCCAATAAAAATGAAGTTGGAAAGTTTCCAGCTGCGTACTGATGAAAGTCTATGAGATTTTAAGTAGGAGAAGCTGCTCAGTATGGACTCGCAAAAGCAAAACAAAACAAAGAATGAGCCAACAGACAAACAAACCAAAAGGAAGAACTGGGAGAAGCCCAGCACAGCCAGCCACCCCTAGCAGAGGTCATTTTAAAAGATAAAGGGATGTCTGAAAGTAATGCACAAATTGATCTACTCCATTATTCAGAATAATCTTTCCCTTTTTATCCTTAACCTAAAAAATGAGAAGATCGAACAGGAGCAGCGAACCAAGCAGGGAGGATGCCATGTGCTGCCATAGCTGCTCAGACCTGGGCTCCAGAAAGCCCAGGCAATGGCACTGAGCAGCACGGATCGTTTTCTCCCGTACCCTTCATTTGTGTTTGGAATACTGGGATTACAAGTATTAATTGGACCTGTAGTGGTGTAAGAGGAGCAGAATAGCCAAGGATACCCAGGAAAATTTCTTGGCAGAGTACCAGATCCTGCAGCAAGCCACTGCATGCAAATGTGGAGGCTCTGGGAGAGGCAGATACCCTGCAAACTTGTGTGCGGTAGGGGAGGCCTGGGCTGGTGAGGACAGCAAGAGCACAGGAAGGGCTCTTGGGATTCTGCAAAGTTAAAGAATAAAATGATGAAAACAGTATGTGATCCTGATAATGTAGCAGCTGAGTAAATATATACATTATCTGAAAGGAATAAGCGGTATGGCATTTATCCTGGCCATATGGAAACAAATATAACTTGTTTTTTTCCATAAAGGCCACTCTTCATTATTTAATTATTTTTACAAATCTTCTTCTATATTGTATTTATAGTGTTCCTGAATGCTTCCAGAGCCTCTCTCTCCATTTTGCAGATATTTGAGATAAGATGGTAGGATGGCTTTGCAGCAAGTCATTTCAGCCTTCTGTGCAAACAGTCCAAATAATTTCCCCCTTGAAATTGCTACTTAGGGCAATTTATTCTCCAAGTGAGGACCCGTGACGCGGTTTCTCGGGCCGCCGGCACTTTTTCCAGCCTCGCTTCCGACGGGTCCCCCCCCGCCTCCGGCTCAGCTCCCTCGGGGGTGCCCGAACCGCTCTTCTCCCGGCTCCCGTTCCCACGTGAATTCACCGAGAGCGGCCCGCACCAGGCGGCACCGCAGCCCCCGCCCGCCGCCCCGGGGCACCCGCGAGCCCCGCACCCCGAGCCCCGAGGCGGGCGGAGCGGGGCGGCTCGGAGCCGCGGGGCCGGGCAGGGCGGGCAGTCCCCGCTCCCCTCGGGCCGGCTGCGCCGTGTGGCAGCTCCTCTGTCAATCAGCCTGACTTCACTCCCGCACGCCCTGTGCTTCCAGTATTATACCCCCGCCGCCTCCTGGTGTCTCTGCTTCGCTGCGAGCCGGGAGCGCGGCCGCCACTGCCGCTGCGGCTGCGGCTGGGCGAATGCGCGGGCGGCGGGGCGCGGGGCAGCGCTGAGCGGCGCGGAGAGGAGCGGAGAGGAGCGGAGCGGGGCCGCCTCCCTCCCTCCCGCCCCGGCTGTGGGCAGCCCCGGGGCCGCTCCCCGCCTCGGGCCGGCAGCGCCGCGATGGAGCCTCCCGCGGGGTTCGCTTGCGTCCTGCTCTGCTGCGCGCTCTGCCTGCCCGCCGCTGCCCCGCGGCGTCCCGGGCACAGAGGTAGGTGCGCGCCGGGTCCCGCTGCCGTCCGCCGCCTCCGGGCTCCTCGCTTCCCCCTGCCTCAGCCGGCCGGTGCCGGGCAGCCCGCCCGTCTCAAGTCGCGGCTGCGAGCCCCGCGGTTTGCCGCTCCTCTCGAACTTCTTCTACGGGCGCTTTTGCCGGGTTTCCAGTTGCGAGCGGCGGGCGAGGACGAGGACCGGGATGGGGACAGAGACGCGGACAGGGGCGCGGAGCGTCGTGCCCGCAGCCGAGCCGCAGCCGCCCCTGCCCGCCCTGCACGGGGCAAGGCTCGGTCCCGGAGTTCCCGGCGCGGGACGAAGCGCACGGCAGCTCGTCCGCCTGCTCCTCCTCTCGCCGCCGTCCCAGAGTACCCGGGCGGCCGCCGGCACCGCTGCCGGTTGCTGCCCGCGGTGTCCCCGTCCCCAGCCGGCCCATCCCCGCCGCGCCGCGGGGATTTCGAGCGACACGCGGCCCTTACGGGCTTGCAGTCCGCGCGCCGGGTCCTTCCCCTGATCCCCCGAGCGCTCCCGGCACGGCTCCGCGCCCTCTGAGCGTCTCCGCCCGGCCGGGAAGCCCCGCCGCTCTCCGGGGGCTGCGCTGCGGGTCTCGGGACTCCGCTGCGTGGCCGGGAGCGCGCGGTCCCGCGGGCGGGCGGGCTCGGGCAGCTGTCCGCTGCTTTGGGCAGCAACGGCAAGTTTGAATGAACTCTGCACGCTTCGTGCTTGCTGGCGAACCGAGTGCTTGTACAGGGCAGTGTCCGTTTGCCTTATGTAAGTGTCTGCTGTGCTAATGAATAATGGAATAAAAATCCAGCGGCATCAGGACGTGTTTAGGTCCAGTATCTCTCTCCTCTCATATCTCTCCCTGCAAAGATCCCATTCTGAGGAATATAGAGGAGTACAGCCTTGTCATCCCCACCAGCACCGACTCAGAGGGCAGGTTCCTATCCCATCTGGTGTCCGGACCGCCAAGAGCACGCTTCAGGAGAGCTGCGGACGACTTGCAACGTGAAGCAGCAAATGAGCAAATATTTTATAATGTCACTGTTTTTGGAAGAGAGTTTCACTTCAGGTTGCGGCCAAACTCCAGGCTCGTGGCCCCTGGAGCAACAGTTGAATGGCAGGAGGACTCGGATGAGACTCGCATCGAACCTCTCTATGGGAATTGCCTCTATGTTGGGGATATCACTGATCTGCCAAATGCTTCAGTTGCTATCAGCAATTGCGATGGGTTGGTGAGTTACTTTTGTTATTATATCTAAGATAATTACATTAATTTTCTAAGTATAAAATGTGTGGACTGCCATAAACTCACACCTCATATGGTAACTGTGAATGCAAATTAACTAATGTTCCCTTGTGTGGGAATAGCTGCGCTGCACCAGGCACTGCTGTACAGACAGCAGCACTGGAAGTTGGAGCACATGCTGTGCAGTAGCTGCTCGGTAACAGAGCAGCCGAAGCCAAGATTTATGTTGATTTGTGGTAAAGTTACTTGAGGCACCTGACACCTTGGCAACAGGATGAAATGTCATGTTCTGGAAATCCTCCTCGGCTTTTCACTTCCAGTCTGCGTAGGAAAATTTTAGAAGACTTGATCCTGAATAATGGGCTGGACTGCCCTGTAAACAAATTTCGTAGGTAAGATGCGTTTCTGCCCTGAAAAGTTCAATTTATTCAGTCTTTTTTCATAGATCGTTCGCTCAGTGAGTTTTATTGCCTCATCAAGTGATTGATGGAAAGTCTCTAAAGAGTCTGAGTTCCACAAGTGAAGCAGCTCTCTGTGATTCATTCTGCAAGGCTGTGTGTTTTAAAACTTGCTGCAGCTTTCAGTCCTGGAGTGCTTGTTTAGCAGTCAAATGATAACCGCTTGTACCTGACATCCTTAACCATTACTATCACTTGAACAGTAATTACTGCACAGAAATTCGTTAACTGAGAAAAAGGCTATGTTTCTGATAATGAACTGCTAATCTGGCCAATATTTTCTTGCCATATCCTTTAGAGTTTGTAATTTTGAGATTACTGTATTTTAATGCATTCTATTCCCTGCATTAAAAAAAAAGCTAGTATGAGTCAGTTGTGTTTCTGTTTATTTAATCATAGAAAATCACTTGCTTGCTGTGCCAAGATGATAACATGCATGGGGATAGTATGTTGGCTATCTGAGAATGGAAAGGAGTCAAATACTTTTGCCTTGACTCTTTCCTTTCCTGTCGTTTCTCCTAGCTGCATGCATTCCAGCTTGGAGAAGCAGCTTTCAATGTTCTGTTTGCTGTGCACAGCTGTCCAAGGGCAAGAGGAACACCAGTGTTGTGCAAGAAGAGCAATTTAAAAGCAGAACGTGACCCTGGAGGCCTGCCTCTCATAGGAAGCAGGAGTGCTTTGGTCTCCCTGTACCTGGCACGCATCACTTTGTCTAGGGCAAATTTTCCTTGCCCGGGGCACTGCAGCACTGGGGCGGAGCCTCGTTCCACAGCTTGAATCCACAACCTGTGTGCATGGGTCCAGTATTCTTGGTTGCGTTGTCCATTATAAGAATCAGGAGAAGATTTGGTCTGGTGTGGGAGCACGTTTGTTGTTGCCCACGTCCTTGAAGCCATACTGCAGCATTACCTCAGTATCTTTAAGCATCTGGCTTTAATGATTTCCCTGAGATTGTGCACTAAATCTGTTTGGAACAACAAATTGAACTCTGATCCCTTGGGTCCTATGTTCCATCTCTACCCATTCCATCCTAAGTTTCTCTCTTTCTTTTTTTGGGGGGGGAGTTTAAAACAGGTATCATTAGAATTATTGAAACTCCAAGAAATGATACTAGCAATTCCCCAGCACTCACCAGCCAAGAACTGAAGCTGAGTGCACTTACTTCTCTCAGTTTACTTTTTCATTTGTTGTGTTTGCAAAGTATATTAAAGAGTCTCTTGAACAATATGTTGTTGACAGGACATCCTTAAGGCCCACTGGGCTGTATGTTGCTCTCAGATTTACTGGGATTTTGAATGGGAATGAACTCATCAAGAAGGTTATTCTCACTTGGTTTTGTGTCCATTTTGCTTCACATCTTATTTACCTCAATGAAGAGATTCAGCAGACTCGTGCATTTTCCTTCAGCTGCCCATTGGTGTACATCCCGTGGCCAAAGTTCTTAACACACCGCTTCTATTTGCAGCTCCTTCCCAGGGATGGTGCTTTCTGACAACTGATTGTCAACTGACAAGTGCTAGAGTTGTTTGTTGCAAACTTGTTTCCACCAATGCCTTGAAATGCCTGCTATTGAAGGTGCTTTGACGTCTGCTTGTGCTTTTGGTGGCCTTCCAGCTTTTGCAATTGGATACGAAGGTGGAAATAATATTTGAATTAAATTTCAAAGTTTGATCTTTACATTGCAAAATTTGTTGACTGAATTTAGTTCAAGTAAGTGAATGCATCTGCCATCTTGCCAACTTCTGATGTTATTTCCTCAGAACATCCCCTTTGGTTTGCACTTAACTGCCAAATGTGTCTTATTTTCCAATTATTGTCTGAGAGGAGTCTGTCTGGTGTTGCTGGTGTTGCCAAAATGAGAGGCTGTTGGAATGGAGTTATATGTAAATAGTAGATCTGCGAACAGATTTTTGAACTGTACTATAAATGGCAAAGGTTTTTAATCTGCACCGGTTTGAAGAAATTAAGAGGTACAGAAAATGCATATGCAGAATTATCTGCTGCTCTGACTGAGGAGATGCACATGTAGTTTGGGGCCTCTTCGTTTTCTGTGACAGAAATCAATGACAAAACTATTTCTGCTGACTTAAAAATCCAATCAGAGACAGTTGAAGAGAACTTAAGTATGCAGTCTAGGTGTTTTCAGAGTTCAGATGGATCTTTACAGATCACTGGAAAGTTAAAGCTGATCAATAGTTTTTTTGATGTGAGCTTTATCATACAGAATTTTTATGAAGGCCTTGAGATACCAACCCTCTGGACAGTGTGGTCTCACCTTGATTGGTGTGGTGGAACTCAAAGTAATCTTCATCTAAGTGGGCAAAACCAACATGGGTGTCTGTGTGTGGCCTGTCAGACACTGCGGCAGACAGTGTGCTGTGAGGATGGCCTCGGGCCTTGGCCAGGTCCTTACTGGGACACGTTTGGAGATGAGGGAGCAGGCTGACCTTGGGACAGTGGAAATGCCGTGAAATAAGTGAAGTCCTTCCCTTAACCCAGCAGGTGAGCCTACTGCTGGGGACAAACTCTTTCTGCATCTGGGTTTCTTATTTTAGTAAATACCCATGCAGTGCTTGAAGCAGACGTGCACTACTTGGCTGTGAAACGTAAGAGGCATAAACTCTCTCCCAATTTCCTCATAACGTTCGTGGTTTGTGAGGCAGAACATGTGCTTAAGCACAGGCAAATGCAGGAGGATCACAGAATGTGCAACGTAGTGGTGTGGGTAATGAGCATATAATTGCCTTAAGCCTCGTAATCAAATTTATTGTCAAATTTATAGGGGCTTCTAAAAGCCTGAGGATCACAGCTTTGCGTTGGGGAGTCAGCACAATCTCACACTCTGAGGCAACTAGAAGAATATCAGCTCCAGTATGGGCATATGATTGTTAGCTTTGCTTCATTAGCATAATTCTAATAATTCTTATAATCAGTATAAAACACAAAAATGAAAACATCAGCTGTTTAAAGACTCAATTTACATTGCCATTAAAATGGGAAGTTATTAGAAATGCATTTATAGAAAGTAAGCTTTCGAGGACATTTATGGCTGTGAGTTTTCTTACTGAACTACAAGCATTAGATTTCATGTGTTCTGTTTTGGGGTACCAAGCCACAGCTGACTTACTATTGTAACTGTCATAAGTATTTCTTCTTATGGGATGAAATAGGCAGGGTTTGCCTTACAGCATTTCAGTCTCTCCTGGATGCTGCAATAACTGTTTGAGAGAAGCCTGTTAGCTGGCTGCTTGCCCAGATGCTATTTCTTCTAGAAACACTTGGGAAGCCAGCAATACTTTTGAGATTGTTGCCCAAAACTAATTGTAGCTGTAGTACTGAGCTGACCTGGGTGGGTTCCTGGCGATGCGTTCCCTTCACTGAACAGTCATGAATCTCCAGGAACTGGCTGGCGCTTTGGCTGTTGTTAACTTAAGTGAATGTCTCTCAATTGTCCCAAGACATTATCTGTGTTATTAGTGTTTGATTTCCTGCTTTAAAATCAACTGGTTGAAATATATTTATTTTCTTTCCTCTTTCACTATTCACATGGCCTAATTTTAGACATGTAATGTAAGTTATAGATGTGGGAGCCCATATCCCAGATTCATTCAAACAGCTTTCCCAAGAGCAATTCAGACTACCCATGTGAAATGCCCACCTTTTCCCTCCTGGGATAATATTCCCTCTGTCCTTCTACTGTGTTCCCTGCACTCCTGAAGATGCTTAAACACACTGTGAAATCTGCCCTTGTTCAGTATAACCCTGCTTAACTTTGAGCATCTGCTTGGGCTCTTTGAAGTCAGTGAGCTTTAAGGTCGTATTCTTAAACACCTTCCAGATAGAGGTGCCTTCCTGAAACTGCTCACAGGGCTGACGATGGGTCAAACTCATCTTATCTGGATCCCACAACTCATCTGGGCAAAATGGTGAAGGATCTGCTCACAATGAATACAACAGAGAAGACAAACGTGCTTATATAACTGTTATTTTTCCATTTGGACATCCATCTCCTGCTTTCATATGGCTTTACAATTTAGTTTTGTTTCTGCTTTATCTGGTTTTTGGATTTCACTGGCTTGTGATGGAGCAGAAAAGCAGAACTCAAGGTAGCACAGTATTGTCTTCAAAGTCTGCTCAGGTCCAATACCTGATGGCTAAAACAGATGTCTGCTGCAAATAATTCCACTAATTCTTTTTGTACTGTAAGTTCTTAGCATTTATATTGTGATTGTGTTGCATACATTTTTAGTGGGTTAAAACTTGGCGTAGGCGATCTCTTCATGTGGGGGCTTTCCCTTAAAATTAAGAAAACAAGTCAAGCCAAAGTTGCCCTCTCTTTCTGTGGGCAATGGCAAACACCTGTGGGCCTTTCGCTTTTGCAACAAGCGGGACTGAGACAATGGCAGGAGAAATGCAAATAATTCCTTCCCCTGCAGATGATTGGAGTGAGACCTCTATTAACACATACGGTCTTCCCAATTCATTTGGCTTCTCCACCTGTTTAAGCCAAGCATGGATGTCAGTTTGG